AAGTAATGCTAAAAATTCTCCAAGCCAGGCTTCAACAGTAAGTAAACCATGAACTTCCAGATGTTCAAGCTGGTTTTAGAAAAGACAGAGGAACCAGAGATCAACAATGCCAACATCCTCTGGCTAATCAAAAAAGCAAGAGAGTTCCAGAAAAACATCTACTTTTGCTTTCTTGGCTATGCCAAAGCCTTAAACTGTGTGGATCACAGCAAACTGTGGAAAATTCTGAAAGAGATGGGAATACCAGACTACCTGACCTGCCTCTTGACAAACCTGTATGCAGATCAGGAACAACAGACTGGTTCCAAATAGGAAAAGGAGTACATCAAGGCTGTATATTGTCACCCTGCTTATTTAACTTATATGCAGAGTACATCATGAGAAACGTGGGGCTGGAAGAAACACAAGCTGGAAACAAGATTGCAGGGAGAAATATCAATAACCTCAGATATGCAGATGACACCACCGTTATGGCAGAAAGTGAAGAGGAACTAAAAAGTCTCTTGATGAAAGTGAAAGAGGAGAGTGAAAAGTTGTCTTAAAGCTCAACATTCAGAAAACTAAGATCATGGCATCTGGTCCCATCACTTCATGGGAAATAGATGGGGAAACAGTGGAAAAAGTGTCAGACTTTATTTTTTTGGGCTCCAGAATCACTGAAGATGGTGATTGCAGCCATGAAATTAAAAGACGCTTACTCCTTGGAAGGAAAGTTATGACCAACCTAGATAGCATATTAAAAAGCAGAGACATTACTTTGCCAACAAAAGTCTGTCTAGTCAAGGCTATGGTTTTTCCAGTAGTCATGTATGGATGTGAGAGTTGGACTGTGAGGAAAACTGAGTGCCGAAGAATTGATGCGTTTGAACTGTGGTGTTGGAGAAGACTCTTGAGAGTCCCTTGGACTGCAAGGAGATTCAACCAGTCCTTCCTAAAGGAGATCAGTCCTGGGTGTTCATCGGAAGGACTGATGTTGAAGCTGAAACTCCAATACTTTGCCCACCTCATATGCACAGTTGACTCATTTTAAAAGACCCTGAGGCAGGGAAGGATTGGGGGCAGGAGGAGAAGGGGACGACAGAGGATGAGATGGCTGGATGGCATCACCTACTTGATGGACATGAGTTTGGGTAAACTCCTGGAGTTGGTGATGGACAGGGAGACCTGGCATACTGCAATTCATGGGGTCGCAAAAAGTCGGACAAGACTGCGTGACTGAACTGAACAGCATATACAGTTATTATAATTGTAAATATACCTCTAGCAGTGATATGTGTCTGTATTAAGCATTTAACCTGTCTCATTTAATGCCTCTTCTCTTAGTTAGTATAGTAGAATTGTGTTCTTGTGAGATATAATTTTCTATTATATTCTTTTAAAAAATGTTATGTAAGATGTCATCTTTATATCGTAGAATCTGTTTAACTTTACCTACTTAATATTTTCTATACATACATATATATACTTTGATTTTTTCAATTATTTCTCTTTTGTATCCAAGTATTTATTGATACGTAGCTTGTATAGCAGAACTTGCCTATTTCATGTCATATCATGATGGTTAGTTACCAAGGATAGTATTTGTTGTTCTTGTAGCTAGGATGAATGTGCTTAATATTTCTAATTTTTATTATTTATGTAGTTTGTCTCATATATATCAGTATTCCTTATTGCATTAGGTCAATTGATACATATTTTAACATAGATGATAATTCTCAATTAAAAAGCAGAATTCTTTTTTTTTCACATATTCTTTGTTCTTTTTTTTTTTTTTTTCATTTATTTTTATTAGCTGGAGGCTAATTACTTTACATCATTGCAGTGGTTTTTGTCATACATTGAAATGAATTAGCCATGGATTTACATGTATTCCCCATCCCGGTCCCCCCTCCCACCTCCCTCTCCACCCCATCCCTCTGGGTCTTCCCAGTGCACCAGGCCCGAGCACTTGTCTCATGCATCCAACCTGGGCTGGTGATCTGTTTCACCCTAGATAATATACATGTTTCGATGCTATTCTCTTGAAACATCCCACCCTTTCCTTCTCCCACAGAGTCCACAAGTCTGTTCTATACATCTGAGTCTCTTTTTCTGTTTTGCATATAGGGTTATCGTTACCATCTTTCTAAATTCCATATATATGTGTTAGTATACTGTAATGGTCTTTATCTTTCTGGCTTACTTCGCTCTGTATAATGGGCTCCAGTTTCATCCATCTCATTAGAACTGATTCAAATGAATTCTTTTTAATGGCTGAGTAATATTCCATGGTGTATATGTACCACAGCTTCCTCATCCATTTGTCTGTTGATGGGCATCTAGGTTGCTTCCATGTCCTGGCTATTATAAACAGTGCTGCGATGAACATTGGGGTGCACGTGTCTCTTTCAGATCTGGTTTCCTCGGTGTGTATGCCCAGAAGTGGGATTGCTGGGTCATATGGCAGTTCTATTTCCAGTAAAAAGCAGAATTCTTTAAATGTGGTAGGAAGGAGATAAAACTTGCCCACTTAACCTTAGCCAAACAATATCTCTTATCTTGGAACATTGCCTTCTGTGGTGGTGCAAACAGCCTTAGGAAGGGTGGGTGCTGAGTGGGGAAGGAGCAAGGGATTGGTGTGACCCAGGCCAGCAGAATGTACTCTTGAGATCATTGTCATGATGCGTCTTGCACATTGAAGTTCCCCATATCTGGTTTCCTCGGGAAGGGCTAACTTCCTGAATTTCTTTAGAGAAAAAGAATTTAAAGAAGACTAATATGACATTGGTATCCTAATTACCTTCCAGTGTAATCTCCACTTGGACTGGAATCATTTGTAACATACAAAGACATTACATTCTTTTCTTCTGTTTTAGTTGGTGTTGCTTTTGTTTGTTATTGTCTGATATTAAATTTTTCAATCTGAAATCATTCATTTTTAGACCTGTCAGATACCTAGTCATTCAGCATCCTTCTTCTAATAAATGAATATTATTCTGTATAGTTGCACATGGTTTGAACCACTTCATCTTGACAAGATTTTCTCTTTTATCAACTGCCTTTCTGGTCCTTATTGATATGATGATAAATTATATCATTGTTTTATTACACTGGTCTGTTATTGAATTAGTGTTTTCCTTTGACGAATTAACATTTTATATTTGTCCTTCACTTTGGTGAATGCTTCCTTTATTAGGTACATTTAGAAAAGTTTTCCAGCAGTTCATCCAGGATGAATGTGTCAGTATTTGTATATATGTCCATGAGACTGAGACATAGGTTTATTTGCTCTTCTGAGCAGGTGTGAGTCAGGGAATATATACTGTCATTGCACATTTAGATGATCTGTCAAAATTTTGTAATTCTGTTATAAATTTTTTTCTATATAGACTTCTGTTTGGATACCACAGATCACATTTTTATAATAAATCAAAGAAAGGATGAAATCTTATGAAACTGTAAACCCTGCCATCTGCAGTGGTGTCCTTTGAATTTCAATATATTCATGTCTGGCAGTAAAGCAATGTGTTTGCTAAAAACACAAACTTTGATATCAAAGAGACCTAATTTTTGTTTACAAATTTAGGATTTTAATAATCTTGGCTGAGATTAATGTAATCCTAATGTAAATGGATGTTCTTAGATTTTTATAATACCAAAGTGTACTTTTCTTTATATCTTCCCTCATATTATTAATACTTTTACTTTTACATCCTATATTTGACCTGTCAATGCATTGACAGTGCATCTGTGTTTGTATATATTTATCTATCTAATTATCTCATAGGGAGTGTTGTAAAGCATTACACTTTGTCCACAGATTACACAATTGGATATCTTTAAAAAATATTTATCTTGATTAAAATGTTGATAGCAAATAATCCTATCTTCTTTAGGAATTCCAGGCATTTTAGTTGCTGGTAATACCTGAAAATAGAATCAGAAGAAAGAAGAGGTAAGTGATGATCACTGGGTTTTGAACTTCTGCTCTGAACTGACTATTTTTGTTGTTTGGTCACTAAGTCATGTCTGAGTCTTTACGACTCCATGGACTGTAGACCCCCAGTTTCTCTGTACTAGAGTGGGTTGCCATTTTCTTTTCCAGTGTATCTTCCCGATGCAGGGACTGAGCCCACATTTCCTGTATCTCCTGCATTGGCAGGCAGATTCTTTACTCGTGAGTCATCAGGGAAGCCCATGAACTGACTATGTACAGTGAATAAAGTTTTGGAGTTCTTGTTAAAATGGTATAGTAATTTTAGTTAACTCAAGGGCAAGCGTTAAGCACTATAATTGAATGATGATATTTTTGATTGAATGGGTTTATTTTTTACTACTATACAAAAAGTTTGGGGTATAGCATTCACAAATATAATGTATTAGGAGTAGAGAGACAACAATTCTGCCAAAGTGTTTGCATACAGCACTCTTAGTGATAGTTCAAATGTAATATAATCCTTTGTATAAGCATGTTCTAGCTTATAAAATTCTATATCTGAATGCATTTTAGAGATTTTTTTGTATTATTCAATTATATGTGAGGTATGTACACATACAGTTATGTAGAATTATGAGATACATATTTAAAATAAACTTTCTCCCTCTGACTACATCCTTCTTACTCTTTCTAATCATTTTGCCTTGATTTTCCCTTATTTCCAATTTCTCTAAAATGTACATATATAATGATTGTACTTCAATCATATTAATCTCAATCTGAAAGACATATTATATCTATGATTGATGCAAACCAAGGTTCATTATTTGATCTTAGTATTTTATTTATTGTTTTATTGTATTAAATATCAATATATAACTTTTTATGAATAGTATAGAACTAATTGAGTTAAGATATATCAATTTCAATGGGTACATGATTTATTAAAATAGTTGTACCTAAAATCTTGTGGCCATGCCTTTGAACATGATAGATTTTCCTCTTCAACCCTGCTCTGTTTTGGAAAATACCTTTTATAAATTGTTAAATGCTTGGTTTGGCAGGAGTCCTGTGCTAGCAAAAGATGGAACAGAAAAATGGAAGTTCCTTCACTGGGTTTATCCTCCTGGGTTTCTCTGACAGGCCTCAACTTGAGCTGGTCCTCTTGGTACTTCTTTTGATCTTCTACATCTTCACTTTGCTGGGAAACACAACCATCATTGCATTGTCCTACTTGGACCCACATCTTCACACCCCTATGTACTTTTTCCTCTCTAACCTGAGCTTTTTGGATATGTGCTAAGCCACCAGCATCGTTCCCCAATTCCTGGTTAATCTCAGTGGAGCAGACAAATCCATCTCCTATGGTGGTTGTGTAGTTCAAATGTTAATCTCTCTGGGTTTGGGATGTATGGAATGTCTTCTCCTAGGAGTTATGGCATTTGACCGCTATGCAGCTGTTTGCAGGCCCCTTCACTACACGGTAATCATGCACCCCCGTCTATGTGCCCTGATGGCTTCTGCTTCATGGATCATTGGTTTTGCCAACTCCTTGTTGCAGACAGTTCTCATCTTCCTTTTACCACTTTGTGGGAGAAATAAATTAGACCACTTCCTTTGTGAAATCCCTCCTTTTCTCAAACTTGCCTGTGTTGACACCACTATGAATGTTCATGCGATCTTCTTTACCAGTGTCATCATTCTTCTCACACCTGTTGCATTAATCATGTTCTCCTATGGTCTGATTGTCAGGGCGGTCTTAAGAATAAAGTCTACTGCAGGGCAGAGAAAAGCATTTGGTACATGTGGATCCCACCTCACGGTGGTTTCCCTGCTCTTTGGCACAGCCATCTATGTGTATTTTCAGCCCAGCAGCAACAACTCCCAGGATCAGGACAAGTTCATGTCTCTCTTCTACACTGTCATTATCCCCATGACCAACCCCCTCATATATACGCTGAGGAACAAGGATGTGAAGGGAGCAATGGAGAAGGTGCTTTGGAAGGACTCTGACTCCAGATGATGGGTGAGGAGGACAGTTTAATGGAAGGACTTTGAATGCCAGAACTCTTCAGATATATATGTGTGCCCCATGAGTCATCTAAAATTTCCTTTGACAACTCTGAAGGGAATTTGTTTACTTCATTCCCTTTGAACAGTGAGTGGTCAAATTCTAAGTTCATGTATTCACTTCAACTTCCAGAGACGCAGATTCAGTGTTCTGACAGCATCTGTTTTGTAGTTATTGTTTTTTAAAGCTTCTTGTTTGCACTCCCTTTTAGGTACATTATTCCACATCTGTTTTCAAAATGACATGTGAATATATCACATGAAAACACTGCCAAAATAAGAACAAGAAACCACTGAAATGCTGTAAGGAATATTTACATTTTATTAACTCCAAAGATTTGCTGCTGCTACAACACATGTCTTCAGATGACACAGGGTAGATATCAGTTAGATTTTTCTATATAACAAATAACTGCAAAAATTTGTTGCTTAAAACACCAATCATTAATTTATCTCACAATTATGAGATAAAGATTAGTTGGGCTAAGCTTCAGATCAGTTCAGTTCAGTCTCTCAGTCGTGCCCAGCTCTTTGTGACCCCATGAATCGCAGCACACCAGGCTTCCCTGTCCATCGCCAACTCCCGGAATATACTCAAACTCATGTCCATCAAGTCAGTGATGCCATCCAGCCATCTCATCCTCTGTCGTCCCCTTCTCCTCCTGCCCCCAATCCCTCCCAGCATCAGGGTCTTTTCCAATGAGTCAACTCTTTGCATGAGGTGGCCGAAGTATTGGAGTTTCAGCCTCAACATCAGTCCTTCCAGTGAATACCCAGGACTGATCTCCTTAAGGATGGACTGGTTGGATCTCCTTGCAGCCCAAGGGACCCTCAAGAGTCGTCTCCAACACCACAGTTCAAACGCATCAATTCTTCGGTGCTCAGCTTTCTTCACAGTCCAACTCTCACATCCATACATGACCACTGGAAAATCCATAGCCTTGACTAGACGGCCCTTTGTTAGCAAAGTAGTGTCTCTGCTTTTTAATATGCTATCCAGGTTGGTCATAACCTTCCTTCCAAGGAGTAAGCGTCTTTTCATTTCTTGGCTGCAATCACCATCTGCAGTGATTTTGGAGCCCCCCAAAATAAAGTCTGACACTGTTTCCACTGTTTCCCCATCTATTTCCCATGAAGTGATTGAAAGGTTGTTGCTGAACAATAAGACACCGGGATTCTTGGCCTCCGAGGAGACGAATTCAATCCGGGGCCAGAGACGAGGCTGGATCACTCAGAGCTTTTGTGTAATAAAGTTTTATTAAAGTGTAAAGGAGATAGAGAAAGCTTCTGACATAGACATCAGAAGGCGGCAGAAAGAGTACCCGCCTGCTAATCTTCAGCTGGATGTTATATAGTCACTGGCAGTCTGTTAATGAAAAAAAAGGAATGTCTTAAAACTCAGAATGGCAGGCCCCTCATCCATAAATTGCATTTTGTGATAATCTTGGCACCAGATAATTCATCCCAGGCCATAAAATGATTGACTTGAATCTTGTAGAAGGGCAGATTACCAAATAGTTTCGTTTACATAGCTGAGGGGAACAATATCAGAGTATAACATATTGGTCTGTCAGATCGTTTCTGAGCCATTTGGCAGAATTTACAGAGTCTGGGGTAAATGCATAGCACATTAACATAGCTTAGGACAAACATTTCCATAAGAAAAAATGTATTGGTTAACTCAAGGTTTGAGAATAGTTAGCTTCAGGTGAAACCAGTTGTCATGGCAACCCAGCATTTTAAGAGAAACCGCCTTTTAAATTTGTATAGAGAAGGAAAAAAATATCACCAGTTTGTTTCCTCCTGCCACTTAAGAGAGATAAAAAGGTCTGATGCTTGCAGCCTATTTCCTCTCTTTGGAGACCCCTGGCCTTCCTGCCTGTTATCCTCTCATGATGGGACCAGATGCCATGATCATAGTTTTCTGAATGTTGAGCTTTAAGCCAACTTTTTCACTTTCCTCTTTCACCTTCATCAAGAGGCTTTTTAGTTCCTCTTCACTTTCTGCCATAAGGGTGGTGTCATCTGCATATCTGGGGTTATTGATATTTCTCCTGGCAATCTTGTTTCCAGCTTGTGCTTCTTCCAGCCCCACATTTCTCATGATGTACTCTGCATATAAGTTAAATAAGCAGGGTGACAATATACAGCCTGGATGTACTCCTTTTCCTATTTGGAAACAGTCTGTTGTTCCATGTCCAGTTCTAACTGTTGCTTCTTGATCTGCATACAGGTTTCTCAAGAGGCAGATCAAGTGGTCTGGTATTCCCATCTCTTGAAGAATTTTCCACAGTTTATTGTGATCCACACAGTCAAAGGCTTTGGCATAGCCAGGAAAGCAAAAGTAGATGTTTTTTGGAACTCTCTTGCTTTTTTGATTATCCAGAGGGTGTTGGCATTGTTGATCTCCTGTTCCTCTGCCTTTTCTAAAACCAGCTTGAACATTTGGAAGTTCATGGTTCACGTATTGTTGAAGCCTGGCTTGGAGAATTTTGGGCATTACTTTACTAGCGTGTGAGATGAGTGCAATTGTGCAGTAGTTTGAGCATTCTTTGGCATTGCCTTTCTTTGGGATTGAAATGAAAACTGACCTTTTCCAGTCCTGTGACCACTGCTGAGTTTTCCAAATTTGCTGGCATATTGAGTGCACCACTTTCACAGCATTATCTTTCAAGATTTGAAATAGCTCATCTGGAATTCCATCACATCCACTAGCTTTGTTCATAGTGATGCTTTCTAAAGCCCACTTGACTTCACATTCCAGGATGTCTGGCTCTAGGTGATCACACCATCGTGATTATCTGGGTCGTGAAGATCTTTTTTGTACAGTTCTTTTGTGTATTCTTGCCACCTCTCCTTAATATCTTCTGCTTCTGTTAGGTCCACACAATTTCTGTCCTTTATCAAACCCATCTTTGCATGAAATGTTCCCTTGGTATCTCTAATTTTTTTGAAGAGATCTCTAGTCTTTCCCATTCTGTTGTTTTTCTCTATTTCTTTGCATTGATCACCGAGGAAGGCTTTCTTATCTCTCCTTGCTATTCTTTGGAACCCTACACTCAAATGGAATGTTTGGGCTAAGGTTAGCCAGACAGTTCTTCTGATCTTGGGTGGACTCACTCAAATGCCTGCAGTTCGCTACTGGGTCTGCTTAGGGCTTCCTGATCCAGGATTGCCACAGCTGGCATGGTTTCCATCTCCTTGATGTGGTCTCTCATCTTCCAGTAGGATGGCCTGGAATGTTCATATGGTGAAGGCCAGTTTCCAAGTCCTTGTAATCGATTTATTGTTTAAGTTATGGCTACTCTCCTGCTTGCCTGTCCTGTCTTTCTTTGCGCATTCTTTACCTCCATAAATAGTAACTGTTAGGGTCTGTTCTTTTTTCCACATGGAGGGTCTAGGAGGTCACAGTGTATTTCCATAGCCTTGTCATGCGAGTGTATGCTCCTCGGTTCTTTGTCTCGTCACAACAAAAATTTGGAGTGACGGACATTAAAGCCCCTTGGCGGGTCACAGCTCTCGGAGGACAGACCATGTTATAGCTCTCAGGTCTCGAACGGACCGTGCTATAGCTCTTAAATAAATCTCAGTGTTACAGCTCAGTGTTACAGATCTATTTATTCAGATAATAGCAGGAAAATCCATCTTTGAGGCGTGAGGGCACGTCGATCCAGAGACGCGAAGAGATCACCCCATCGCGTGGGAGAGAGAGGGAGCAGAAAGGGAGAGAAGAGGGCTTTGGCTCCTCTTTTTATGTGTTTCTCTGTCCCTGGGCCTGTCTTATGTAAATTGGGCCGGCCAGGAGTGTTGTTGGTTTTTCCTGAGGTTCTCACTCTGGTACTCAGACCTTCCTTTGTTCTATTTTCATGGGCTTTCCCCTTTAGGTCTTTTAGCCACTGCCATTTGGACTCTTTTTCCCTATTCTAACTACCTAACAGCCTCTTTCCCCAGTCACCAGTAAGTTGGGGGCTTCCCTGCTAGTCTAGTAGTAAAATCCTGCTGCCAATGCAGCGAACACAAGTTACATTCCTGGTCTAGGAAGTTCCTACATGATGCAAAGCAACTAAGGCCATGCGCCACAGCTACCCAGCCAGCTCTCTAGATCCCATGAGCCACACCTCTGAAGCCCGCATGCCCTAGAGCCCGTGGTCCCCAAAGAGAAGCCACAGCAATGAGAATCCCTTGCACCGCAGCTAGAGAAAGGGTGCGTGGAGCAATGAAGAGCCGCAACAAAGACTGAGCGCAGCCAAAACAAAAGAAAAAAATCCAATCAGTGGAAGGTCTTTCCTGGTGGCCCGGTGGTTAAGAGCCCTGCTTCCACTGCAGAGGTCGAGGGTTCCATCCCAGGTCAGGAAACTAAGATCCACATGCCACGCAGCATGGCCAAACGTTAACAAACAAAGTGAACAAATCAGTAAGTGGGAACACAGTGGGGCCTGTCACCAGGATGGCTCCTACATGGGACTGCTCAGATTCAGAGTGAAGATTTGACTAATGGGTAATGAGAGCTGATGTGTAGATTATTTTTCCTTTCTTCCTCTGTGTTAGGAATCTGTTGGATGTCTCCTAAGAAATGCTTCAGGGGGACAAACGTGATTGAGCACCTAGTTACTCTGTACTAATGGCGAATTTGATAATGTATCCTTGACAAGTCCGCTTTCCTTCCTCTTCTGTTCCCTTTCTTTCACTGTTGATCCTGTATGTCATTCTGCATTAAGTGCTTGTTCATAAACCTTTGTTTCAAGTTCCCTTTTCTGGAAAGCCTAGAGTATGAAAGAGAGTTTGGTGGCCTATGAAAATAATCTGGATCACAAATACAAAGTTTGGAGTTTCTGACTGTCAAAGACATTTGCAACTGGCACCAACGCTTTGAAATTGGGCTCTAAAAAATGGCCTTCTTCTGGGTGTTGATTGTGCCAATAGAACAGGATAGAGTTCAGTTCAGAAGTCAAGGAAGGAGCTTCCCTGGGGGCCAGTGGCTAAGACTCTGCACTCCCAGTGCAGGGGACCTGGGTTTGATCCTTGGTTGGTCAACTAGGTCCTGCATGCCGCAACTAAGACCTGGCAGAGCCAAATAAATTCATAAAAATAAATAAATATTTTAAAAAAGTAGAAGGAAAGGGAAGTTTTACTCTTTAATCATAAAATGAAGAAATGGGAGCTCAGCATCTAGAGTATGCCCTCTGCTGGACAGCCCACCTGCAGGTTGCTTGATTGGGTTCTCTCATCATCTGGAAGTGGGTGGCAGGCTTCTCCCCAGGCAAGTGCAGTTGTGTTGCCTGTGGCTCCACACCCCAGTGCCAGGTGCAGTGTCTCTGCATATGGCCTGCTGCCAACATCTAGAATTTAGTCATTTGCAGCAGTTCTGCACACAGTCTCCTGAGCTGAGGTTTGGGGCGCAATGCCTCTGTACCAGGTACCCTATGAGAAAGTGAAACAAGACTAAACACCAAGGAAGAGACCAAAAAAAAAAAAAAAAAAACCGGTTAGAGTTCATTACCCAGATTCTATTTTTTTTTTTTTCTAACGACTGCTAATGGTCATTACTCCTGGGAACCAAAAGAATGAAGGACATTACATGAGGAGAGATTTTAGAGAAAGAAGAAGACTGAAGACCAAGGTTTGAGGCACCTCAACATTTAATGATTGGGTAGTAGAGAATTTACCACTAGTAAAGTAATGCTCAAAATTCTCCAAGCCAGGCTTCAGCAATACATGAACCATGAACTTCCAGATGTTCAAGCTGGTTTTAGAAAAGGCAGAGGAACCAGAGATCAAATTGCCAATATCTGCTGAATCATCAAAAAAGCAAGAGAGTTCCAGAAAAACATCTATTTCTGCTTTACTGACTATGCCAAAGCCTTTGACTGTGTGGATCACAATAAACTGTGGAAAATTCTTCAAGAGATGGGAATACAAGACCACTTGACCTGCCTCTTGAGAAACCTGTATGCATATCAGGAAGCAACAGAACTGGACATGGAACAACAGACTGTTTCCAAATAGGAAAAGGAGTACATCCAGGCTGTATATTGTCACCCTGCTTATTTAATTTATATGCAGAGTACATCATGAGAAATGTGGGGCTGGAAGAAGCACAAGCTTGAACCTAGATTGCCGGGAGAAATATCAATAACCTCAGATATGCAGATGACACCACGCTTATGGCAGAAAGTGAAGAGGAACTAAAAAGCCTCTTGATGAAGGTGAAAGAGGAGAGTGAAAAAGTTGGCTTAAAGCTCAACATTCAGAAAACTATGATCATGGTATCTGGTCCCATCACTTCATAGGAAATAGATGGGGAAACAGTGGAAACAGTGTCAGACTTTATTTTTTTGGGCTCCAGAATCACTGCAGATGGTGATTGCAGCCATGAAATTAAAGGATGCTAACTCCTTGGAAGGAAAGTTATGACCAACCTAGATAGCATATTAAAAAGCAGAGACATTACTTAGCCAACTTCTCTGGTGGCTCAGCTGGTAAAGCATCTGCCTGCAATGTGGAAGACCCGGATTCAATCCCTGGGTCGGGAAGATCCCCTGGAGAAGGGAATGGCAACCCACTCCAGTATTCATGCCTGGAAAATCCCATGGACAGAGGAGCCTGGTAGGCTACAGTCATTCTGTGGGGTCGCAAAGAGTCGGATATGACCAAGTGACTTCACTTCACTTTGCCAACAAAGGTCCATCTAGTCAAGGCTATGGTTTTTCCAGTGGTCATGTATGGATGTGAGGGTTGGACTGTGAAGAAAGCTGAGTGCCGAAAAATTGATGCTTTTGAACTGTGGTGTTGGAGAAGACTCTTGAGAGTTCCTTGGACTGCAAGGAGATCCAACCAGTCCATCCTAAAGGAGATCAGTCCTGGGTGTTCATTGGAAGGACTGATGCTGAAGTTGAAACTCCAACACTTTGGCCACCTCATGCAAAGAGTTTACTCACTGGAAAAGCCCCTGATGCTGGGAGGGATTGGGGCCAGGGGGAGAAGGGGACGACAGTGGATGAGATGGTTAGATGGCATCACTGACTCGATGGACATGAGTTTGAATAAACCCCGGGAGTTGGTGATGGACAAGGAGGCCTGGCATGCTGTGGTTCATGGGGTTGCAAAGAGTCAGACACTACTGAGCGACTGAAATGAACTGAATAGAGAATTTTAAGACTCTTCATGAGATTGGGAGGAAATTCCAGAAATGTGAGAGGAAAACTCTATTAGTTGAATTAAAGGCTAGGCTGCTATAAGAACAAGACCCTGACAATCCAGTAGCTTAAAGAAGCATCTGTCTCTGTTTACCGCTGTTTCTGTCCCCCACCTTCTCTCTCAGGCAGAGGCGTAGCTTGTCAACAATTGTGGAGTATTTCTGCTCCACCTTATTCTTAGTGGCTCCCACATTTGAAGGCTTGTCAAGCCCTCTTAATGTTCTCAAAGGGAAAATCTCATTCAGCATCTAGATGGAGGCTGATTGGAAGTTGGGCCATCAGGGAATAACTTTTCAAATATGTAAGTATACTGCTGATAGCTTATGGTGAATGATGTCAGATTCATGATCTCTGAGTAAGATTTAACTTTGGGACCAGGGACCAGGCTTGATCACTCAAGATCTATGAGAAGCAGTTTGAAAATATTTTCTTCCAGTTTGTAGCTTATCTTATTATCCTCTTAACAGGGTCTTTAATAATGATTTTATTTTGATGAATCTTCAGTTGTAGATTTTTTAAAAAATAGATCATGCTTTTGTTGTATTATATTCCAGTATAAAACAAGAATTTTGAAAAATAGCATAGGAAAAAAGCATATAATTTCAAGTAAGCATTACTAGAAAATGTCAAATTATTATGCAACATTATTTAGCCAATTAATATTTGCATCAGCAAGATTGAACCGGGAAGATGTGTTAACAGCAGGCCTCTGATTCTCTCCATCTCTGGACACCCTGTGACATATTGGTCTTTACTAGGCCTCCTTATAAATATTATGTTGGGATATAACTAGTGGAGAGATTACTGAGAAAATTCTAATTAAGGCTATTTTAAGGAAGAGATAGTTTCTCTCTACGGATAGGATGTTATTAAAAAAAAGAATTTATGCTTATATGGGCAATGGCTGTCTATAAAATGTAAGCTCTGTGCTTTTCTGACTAATAACATATAAAAACCAAGATGCTTCAAACCTAAATAGCTTTCTCTGAGACAGCTTATACTACTAACTAGCAGTGCTCTATTACTCTGAAACAAAATGTGTTCTAGTGGGGAGAAGAAGAGATTTTATATTTTTTGAAGCTGCATTTGATGGTTAGGCCAAAGCCTTCCATAGACAGATGTTAAGTATTCCTGCTTTAACCTTGTGTAGTCAAGTGTATAAGTTGTTTTGAAATTGATTGATCTTTAAACTTCAATACACACAATACCCTTCAAGTTTCTTTCAATTTACTTTAGCAGTTATGGCTATCTTGATTAACTCAATCATGTCCATCGTAAATGGAAAGATGATTTGAACTGTAGGAAGCCCTGGAAGTTCCATTTAAAAAGTCAATAGTTTTTTTGTTTAAGTAAACTATTGCAACTCTCTGATAGCAAATGAACAATGTCATAGAGGACTTGATATTTTTCATTAGCCACATTAGAAGTTTGGGAGTAAAATGTGGGTGTTGCCATTTAATATATTACCTTGAACATTAAAATCTGCCTAAACTTTAATTCTGTGATCTCTTAGAAGTTGGTTATAATTTGCTTTATGACTCAGGGACTCAAACAGGGGCTCTGTAAAACCTAGAGGAATAGGATGTGGAGGGAGGCTCAAGAGGGAAGGGACATAGGTATACCTATGGCTGATTCATATTGGTGTTTGGCAGAAACCAACACAATACTGTAAAACAATTCCCCTTCAATTAAAAATCAATAAATTTGGCTCTCTGCTCCTGCCCGTTTGACAGATAGCCGTAACTTTCGTGCTGTGCCAGCCGCATCTCTGAGACAAGATGGTGAAGGTCGGAGGGAATGGATTCGGCCACATTGGGCGCCTGGTCACCAGGGCTGCTTTTAATTCTGGCAAACTGGACATCGTCGCCATCAATGACCCCTTCATTGACCTTCACTACATGGTCTACATGTTCCAGTATGATTCCACCCACGGCAAGTTCCACGGCACAGTCAAGGCGGAGAATGGGAAGCTCGTCATCCATGGAAAGGCCATCACCATCTTCCAGGAGCGAGATCCCGCCAACATGAAGTGGGGTGATGCTGGTGCTGAGTACGTGGTGGGGTCCACTGGGGTCTTCACTACCATGGAGAAGGCTGGGGCTCACTTGAAGGGTGGCGCCAAGAGGGTCATCATCTCTGCGCCTTCTGCCGATGCCCCCATGTTTGTGATGGGCGTGAACCACGAGAAGTATAACAACACCCTCAAGATTGTCAGCAATGTCTCCTGCACCACCAACTGCTTGGCACCCCTGGCCAAGGTCATTCATGACCACTTCGGCATCGTGGAGGGACTCATGACCACAGTCCACGCTATCACTGCCACCCAGAAGACCGTGGATGGCCCCTCTGGGAAGCTGTGGCGTGATGGCTGAGGGGCTGCCCAGAACATCATCCCTGCTTCTACTGGCGCTGCCAAGGCTGTGGGCAAGGTCATCCCTGAGCTCAACAGGAAGCTCACTGGCATGGCCTTCCGCGTGCCCACCCCCAACGTGTCCATTGTGGATCTGACGTGCCACCTGGAGAAACCTGCCAAGTATGATGAGATCAAGAAGGTGGTGAAGCAGGCGTCAGAGGGCCCTCTGAAGGGGATTCTAGGCTACACTGAGGACCAGGTTGTCTCCTGCGACTTCAACAGTGACACTCACTCTTCTACTTTCGATGCTGGAGCTGGCATTGACCTCAACGACCACTTTGTCAAGCTCATTTCCTGGTACGACAATGGATTCGGCTACAGCAACAGGGTGGTGGACCTCATGGTCCACGTGGCCTCCAAGGAGTAAGGTCCCTGGACCCCCAGCCCCAGCAGGAGCACGAGAGGAAGACAGAGTTCCTCAGCTGCTGGGGAGTCCTTGCCCCACCTTGATCCTCCACCACTCTGAGAATCTCCCGACCTCCACAGTTTCCATCCTCAAGGCCCTGAGGAAGGGGAGGGGCTTAGGGAGCCCTGCCTTCTTGTGTACCATCAATAAAAGTACCCTATACCCCCCCAAAAAAAATATATAAATAAATTTAATTATAAAACAAAGAAAAAAGAATTGGTTATGAATATTAGGTGAAAATTAACTTATATTTAAAGTTAAGTAACTGAATGAGTTCTTATTTATATATGCAGTTTTTATTTTTTTTTGCAATTGTGTGAAAAAATCTCAAGTGTTTAGTAAAATACCTAAGCCATTAAAAGAGGAGAGCTAAGATAACTGCAAAAGTCTAGGGAGTTATCTGACCTCTGTCATTTATGAGAAGTTACAAAAGAGGCAGATTAGGTATCCTCTTGCATTCTCTTTGATATTCATTTTCCCTGAGGATTGTCATCTCTGGGCAGCTAGGTGACATCAGCTAATTAACAGTACAGGACATCCATTCCTCAGAGACTTCAGCCAGGTAAACAGTTTTCACCAGCCCAGTTTTACTGCCATTTCATACCAATCTCATGCTTTCATAATGAGCTCTCTGTCATAGAGCCAAGACATTATATTCAGAAGGAATCCTGAGAGTTTGAAATTGCCTTCCTATGTCATCCTACCAGCTAGACACATTGCTGATCTTCAGTACCCTGTGAAAGTATTTGAAGTTATCAAGAGAAAGCATCTTTTTGCTTAAGAAAAACTTAAGGATATTCCAGCGCTGATAGAGTCAACTTATATACTCATTTTGTACAACCTGAGTCCTTAGTCTACATACCCAGGTTCCAATGCCCGGTACTGTATTAAAGGCAGGAACTTGGAAATGAGGTAGAGAACGAGCTTAGTACACTCACATAAGGTGAATAAAACTGAGAGGACTGGAACTGGATCTCTGTGGTACCTAAGGAATTGGTAAGTCAGCTTGTTTTCAGTTGCAAGTGTTCTTTAAAGGTTACATTGAGTAACATACATGTCAGCTGGCAAAAGAAACAGAAATTCCTATAGAAATTCACCAACTTTAAGAACTAAACTTAACTGTTTCTTATGTAAGCCAACATTTTGTTCCTAGACATTTCATCCTATTGTAGTATATTCATTATGTCTCAGTATGTATATATGGAAAAATTTAAATACAAGATTTTTGGCTGTAATAAAACATGTCCTTCAGTAATTGAATAATAGCATATATGTGAATGTGAAAATATTAGACTATACACTTTCATTTTTTCCTCAGCTCCTTATTTTCTCTGAAATTACAGAATGTTTCTTAAAGTGTATTGTCAACATCTGTAGTTTTAAAATGTTCATTTTCTTAAAGAAACAAACGTGTATATTTCCACATGCTGGTTTTGCAGTTACAGCAATAAATGTCCATTTTGTGGTTATTGTGTCAATGCATTTTTGAATTTATTGTTAATGAAAAATGATCATTCTTTAATTGAGGAGAAATACCAGTTTAGAGGAGAAACATGGGTCAAAAAGGTGATATGAATGTTTAATTTATTGGTATATTAGGCAAATGACAAGGTGATGTGTAATGTACACTGGTGACTGTCCTTCCATCCTTGCACACACTTATGAATGGACTCTACATTTTTGTATGAATGCTTTCAGTGTCCAGCTCAGATCTTTTCTACTGGCTGGTTCACCAGTCCACACTGTATTTGTCATGAGTGTTGACTGATAGCTTCACAGCTCTTTCCTTCTTCAGAAAATTGCCATCAGTTGAATGGGAGGCACATTGCTGGGAGGACTCCTGAATGTGTTTGGGGCAGCTTGCAGTCAATGACAGATCTGTGGGATATATAAAAGTCTGCCCTTTTGTCAAGGTGGGACTACATCTGACCCAATGCATGTTCCGTAGCTTGTTATTCTATATAGTAGTAAGTAGACTCATTTAAATGACTAGGTATTTAAATTTACCCGAGTTAAAATTAAATTTAAAATTCAGTTCTTTATCTGCCCCACTTGAAATGCTCAGGCAGCATTGATTGTGTAAATGAAGACAGACTATTTTTACCAGCAGATCTATTTGGAGAGTCATTTTCCAGCTTTCTATGGGATCCGGTTCATGCTATTGCATTTGAGATCACATCCTTGCTCAGAAAATTTGTCTGGTCTGTTTTTCTTCCCTGATTCTCTTTGTCTTGAGAACATTCATTCAATAAACAGCATGCAAAGGAATTCCATTTCAACTTCCTGTCCCTAACCTGGCCAATCTCTGTCCATACTGATTAGAAGTGTTATTTCTGAGATTGTGATTGATCCATTTCTTCCTCATTTATGTGTTCTTCATTGCCATTAAAATGTTGATAGTGAATAATCCTGTCTCCTATAGGAATTTCAGGCATTTTAGTTGTTGATAGTATATGAAAATGAAATCAACAGAAAGAAAATGTAAGTGCAGGTCACTGGATTTTGAACTTCTACTGTGAACTGACTACTTCCGTTGTTTAGTTGCTAAGTCAAGTCCTACACTTTTGGACTCCATGGCCTCTATCCCACCAGGATCTTCTGTACTGAAGTGGGTTGCCATTTTCTTCTTCAAGGTATCTTCCCGATCCTGGGATTGAATCGGTGTTTCCTGTCTCCTGCATTGGCAGGCAGTTCTTTACCACTGAGCCAACAGGGAAGCCCAGGAACTGACTATGTGCAGTGAATCAATTTTCGGAGTTCTTGTTAAATTGCAATAGTAATTTTAGGTATCTTAAGGGCAAGAGTTAAGCAGTATAATTGAAAGTGATTTTTCAGGTACTGAGCAATTTACTTTTTAGTATTATACAAAAAGACCAGGATATAGCATTCACTAATATCATGTATTAGGAGTAGAGTAACTATTCTGCCAAAATGTTTACATGAGGCAGTATCATAGTGATGCATTGAATGTAATATAATCCTTTGTACAAGTACGTTCTAGCTCATATATTTCTATATATGAATGCATTTTAGAGATTATTTTGTATTATTCTATTCCATGTGAAGTGAAAGTCGTTCAGTCCTGTTTGACTCTTTGTGACCCTGTGGACTATATAGTCCATGGAATTGTCCAGGCCAGAATACTGGATTGGGTAGCCTTTCCATTCTCCTGGGGATCTTCCCAACCCAGGGATAGAACCCAGGTTTCCTGCATTGCAGGAAGATTCTTTACCAGCTGAGCCACAAGGGAAGCCACTATTACATGTGATGTATCTGCATATCCAGTTATGTAGAATTATGAGATACATATCTAAAATAAACTTTCTCCCTTTGTCTACATCTTTCTTACTCTTTCTGCACACTCTCCCTTGATTTCCCTCATTCCTACTTTCTCTAAAATATACATATATAATGATCATACTTTAATCCTATTAAATTCAATCTGAAAAAGGCACTTTATATGTATGATTGATGAGAACCAAGGTTCATTATTTGATTTTATTATTATTATGTATTATTTTTTATATTAATTATCAATACATAACTTTTTGTGATAATGTAGAGCTCAATTTCAATAGGTACATCATTAATTCAAATTGTTACTTATAAATCAAATGACCATGTGTTTGAGCATGACAAATTTTCCTGTTTATCCCTGCACTTTTTTGGGAAGATACCTTTAATAAATTGCTAAATGCTTGATTTGACAGGAGCCACGTGCTAACAAAGGATGGAACAGAAAAATGAAAGTTTGTTCACTGGATTTATCTTACTGGGCTTCTCTGACAGGCTTCAACTTGAGCTAGTCCTCTTTGTGGTCCTTTTGATCTTCTACATCTTCACTTTGCTGGGAAACACAACCATCATTGCATTGTCCTACTTGGACCCACGTCTTCACACCCCTATGTACTTTTTCCTCTCTAACCTGAGCTTTCTGGACATGTGTTATACCACCAGCATTGTTCCTCAGTTCCTATTTAATCTCAGCGGATCAGACAAATCCATCTCCTTTGGTGGATGTATAGTTCAAATGCACATCTCTCTAGCGTTGGGAGGTGTAGAATGTATTCTCCTAGGAGTTATGGCGTTTGACCGCTATGCCGCTGTTTGCAGGCCCCTTCACTACACGGTAATCATGCACCCCGGTCTGTGTGTCCTGATGGCTTCTGCTTCATGGATCACTGGTTTTGCCAACTCCTTATTGCAGACAGAGCTTGTCTTCCTTTTACCTCGTTGTGGAAAAAATAAATTAGACCACTTCTTTTGTGAGGTCCCTCATTTTCTCAAACTTGCCTGTGTTGACATCACCGTGAATGTGTATGTGACCTTCTTTGCTGGTGTCATCATGCTTCTCACACCTGTTTCATTAATCATGTTCTCCTATGGTCGGATTGTCAGGGCGGTCTTAAGAATCAAGTCCACTGCAGGGCAGAGAAAAGCGTTTGGCACATGTGGATCCCACCTCACGGTGGTCTCCCTGTTCTTTGGCACAGCCATGTATGTGTATTATCAGCCCAGCAGCAACGACTCCCAGGATCAGGACAAGTTCATGTCTCTCTTCTACACTGTCATTATCCCCATGACCAACCCCCTCATTTATACGCTGAGGAACAGGGATGTGAAGGGAGCGATGAAGAAGGTGCTTTGGAAGGACTCTGACTCCAGATGATGGGTGAGGAGGACAGTTTAATGGAAGGGTCTTGACCACCAGTGCTCTTTAGATGTATCTGTGTGTCCCGCATGAGTCATCTAAAATTCCCTCTGACAACTTTGAAGGGAATTTGTTCACTTCATTCCTGTTGAAAAGTGAGTGTTCAGATTTTAAGTTCATGTATTCATTTCAATTTCCAGAGATGCTGATTCAGTGTTCTGACAGTATCTGCTTTGTAATTACTGTTTTAAAAATCTCCAATAACTTTTCTTGTTTGTACTCCTATTTGGGTACATTGTTCCACATCTAT